GGGGGGGGGGGGGGTCACACAACATTAAAGCCTGGGCCAAACTGGCTTCGTGAGCAGTGCGTGTGGGATGCAGAACAACTTGCTCCCATGTTTTTAGGTTAGAGCGTCTACACTGCCAGACGTGTGAGTAGCGATGCCCTTCTGGGGTCTCGCCTAATTTCCCAGCATACCATGCAAAATTTACAGCAAAATAGACAGTGAAAAGGATCTCCACAGTTCACCACAGTTTAAATGTTTATCTTTTGAATATGTAACAAATATAAAATTGTACCCGTTTCAAAGTTAAAGCACTGTCACCATATGTGTTGACTGCAATCTTTTATTTGTTTTAACAAGGTTTTTATCGTTATTGCAGAATTGGAAGATGCACAGCTTCATACTGCAGAGTCCTTGTATTTAGTCGCATATATAGCCGTACTTTTATCTCAGTATTCATCCGAGAAACCTCATGAAGCACCTCTGCTGCAGACACAGCAGACATGCTGCCTTTGTGAACAACAGATGACCACGACACGCAGCTATCCAACCACTTTCGCAGGCTGTATGGCCTGGTCGAAAGCTCTGCTTATTTTTCTGTGAGATTGAAAAGATGAGGATTAGACAGCAGGTTTCAGTTTGATACACCTTAACTCTTCAACATGGAGATTACTTTAATTTTAAAGTAAAGACCCCCAAGTAAACACACACACATTACTCCCTAATGGCAGTCTGGGGAGTAATGTGTGTGTGTTTACTTGGAGGTCCAAGTCCATCCATGCTGTAAACCGCTAGTGGCTTTGATACTGCATACATTTTTATTGTTGGAGAACTGCGATCATGTAAATGGTCAGTATAACATTTGACAGTAATATAAGGGTTCAAATTGTGTTTTTTGGAAAGCTAACCCCAATTGCTCCTGATGGCTGTGATTGATGTGTGAAGAGAAACATTTGCTGTTAAGTGCTTTGAGAGGTCATAAAGACAAGGATGTCACTACAAAAATATGGACCATTTACCATTTAACTAAATGTCTCTCTGCATGGCCTAGCCCATTGTAAAGAGTTATGTGTTCTAAGTAGCTGTCACTATTTCTTTAAGGCAATGGTATTTTTACAATGAACTTTAAAGAGATGGTCAGTCAGCAGTGTAGTCGAAAGTGTGTTCCACTATGTACCATTACTTGTGTTTTTCAGTTGATGATTCTGTTGAGGATTGTGAGGCTCTGCTCTTGACTTGTCAGAAACTGCAGTTATCAAAGGATAATACTGGCCATATGATTGTTGTGGGCGGCTGTGGCTCAAGGGTGATTGTTCTCTTACCATATGGTCGGCGATTCAACCCCAGTCTGCCCCATACCGCATGGGCAAGATACTGAACCCCAATTGCCCCAGATAGCCATGCCATTCTCATTAAAAGTGCTGCCCATATGAATGTGTGTGTGTGAATGTCCAGAAGGTAGGCGGTCGATCCCAGTCTTCCCCATTCCGAATGACAAAGTGTCCTTGGGCAAGATACTGAACCCTAAACTCCCCCTTCTCATAAAGAAACGTGCTGCACATCTCTGCACTGTATGCATGTTTGTGTGAATGCCAAACTTTACTCTACAGTGCTTTGAGTGGTCATCAAGAATAGAAAAGCTCTATGAATACAAGCCATTTACCATTTGTTGACAAAAAATCCCATGCCACCACAGATCAACAGTACATCTTTCAATGCATTCTCACTTCCCGGTCCTGTCTATCCCACACAGCTCCAACGGCTTTGAGTCCTACTGAAGTTACAAATCTTTACAAACAGCTCACAAATATGTACTTTCATTTTAATCACATATTCGAGAGAGAGTATTTAAGAGTTTAAAAATAAATGTATATTTTATGTACAACCCCCACTTACAATTTGGGACCGTGTGGAAAATGCAAATGCAGAAAGACAGCAGTGATTTCTCAGTTTAATTTGTCTTCATTGAAGACAGTATGAACATAAGATATTTTATGTTTGTCTGGAAGAGATTTGGATATTTCATCCTTACAGTGCATAACATTAATAAAAGTTTCAAGGAATCTGGAGGAATTTCAGTGCGTAAAGGGCAAGGGCGCAAACCTAAACCGACTAACCGTGCTCTCCAATCCCTCAGACGATACTGCATCAAGAACCATCATTCATCTATAAGCGATATAACCACATGGGCTCAGAATTACTTTGGCAAACATTTATCAAGCACTACAATACGTAGTTACATCCACAAATGCCAGTTAAAACTTGACTGTGCCAAAAAGAACCCTTATGTTAACCATGAAAAGAAGTGCTGTCTACTTCTCTGGACTTGAAGGCATCTGGGATGAACCATAACACAGTAGAAACATGTATTGTGGTCAGATGAGTCAGTATTTCAGGTCTTTTTTGAAAGGAATGGATGCCATGTGCATCGCCATCAGCAACAAGTCCAAAAGTCAGGGTCTGTCATGGTATGGGGTTGAGTCAGTGCTTTTGGCAAAGGTAACTTACACTTCTGTGTTGGCAGCATTAATGCCGAAAAGTACATTGAGACTTTGGAGCAGCATATGCTGCTTTCTAGACAGCTTCTTTTCCAGAGACACCTATGCATATATCAACAAGACAATGCAAAACCACATTCTGCACACATGAGCATGGCTACCGAAGAAGAGGGTGGGGGTGCTGGACTGGCCTGCGTGCAGTCCTGACTTGGCCACAATAGAGAATGTGTGGTGCATTAAACAGACACCCCATAGTGTTTCACACCTTAAGACTTGTTTACAGGAAGAATGGGACAAAATGACAAAATGAATTTTAAATGTAACATACTGTCCCAACTTTCTCTGATTTTGGGTTTTTATTTGGCGCCCTATTTTGATTGCAAGGAAAAGTGGATTTGGGTACAAAGACTGTGTGAGCATCTCCATGTGTACCTGCTGGTGGTGCCAAGTGCAAAAGGGCTGGCTGAGGTAAAACAAAGTTCAGAGGGTGTGGTGGTTGATAAATTCACTGTCAGCCAGTCTCATAACCGGTCTCCTGATTTTCCAGGTAATCATATTCAGTGCATCTACATGCCCTCAAGTAAGTTTTTTTTTGTTAAGTAAACAAGAAACCTGGTTACCATTGATGTGCATTAGTAGGTGCAAATGGTGGTTATTACCAGAGAGGGGGGTAATTATGAATACTCTTGTTAAAATTATTAATGGTTATTTATAATTACTGGGCATCAAACTGGCTCAGAGATCAATAACCAAACTGTGGAAACAGTCTTAAAGGGTGTCACCAGTAAGTGTCAATATCTGATATATACACTGCTCAAAAACGTTAAGGGAACACTTAATCTTCACAGTATAACAGCAAGTCAGTTAAACTTCATGGATATTGATTTATCCATTTAGGAAGCACAAGTGATAATGAATCAGTTTCACAGGTGCAATGGAGGCAAAAGCAAGACAACCTCCAAAAGAAATGACTTACATGTGGTGGCCATAGGACACCATCAGCCAACTCATCAGGAACATGCTCAGATGTTGTTGGGTGTACATGCAGGCACACAGAGGCCATACACATTACTGAGTCACATTATGACTTGCTGTGATGAAATTCAGCCAAGTTGGATCACCCTGTGATTTCAATTTTTTCCAGCCCTCCATGGGTTGATGATTTTGGTTTCCATTGACCGTTGTTATGTCAGAAGGACAATGGTCACAGCACAGATTATACAATCATAAATGCACCTCCACACTTAATTAGAGCTCAATATTTTGTATTAGATTTTAAAAGTGAAGGTTGTCTTGAACATTAGTTATCATTTTACAACATGTATGTCCCAGTGATCTATGTATGTCACAATAATGTATGGATATAGATCCTCTTCCCCTGGTGCTGGGGCCACTCAGCGCCTCTTTCCCCTTCCTTTTCATCCATCTGTGTCTGAATGTCTGCCTAGTCTGACCTTCCCAACAATCTGTCCAAAATTCTAGTAAGGGGCCTCTGTGTCAAAACCATTAAGTATGTTAAATTATTTGTGTTGGACAGACTGTGTCCCCACATGGACTACATGACTACAGCCTGCATGATGTGTGATCAGAGACTCAGACAATTCCGGCTGGGGTGCTGCCCCCTCCAACATCCGTAGACAAAAAAGCCTGTATAAAAATATACCTAATTTAATTAGATAATAATAGTTTACTCATACAATGCTCCTTATAAACCTTAAGCGCATTCAATATAAGTTGTTTTCAAATTGTATTTGGTTAATTTCTGTCTAAATACATATACATACACAAATGGAAGTGAATGGGGGTCCTGATACTTTTTGGCAAGCACGGGACCTGACACTCGTTGCGCCCTGGAAACTCCTACCTTTTTTTTTACAGCAAATAAGACCTGCAGTGCCTGGACTTATCTTCTGAGTAGTCAAATCCTGGCAGTTCACTGCTTTGAAACCTGTAAAATACAGCAATCCTCCATGAAATGTCCTGAGCCCACTCCAGCTGCTGCCACCTGGCTGCATGGACCATTGACTACCTCACCAAAAGATCACAGCATGGGAGGCTTTGCGATTGTGGGTCTGATGTGATAGTTTGCAGCATGGGAGCACCACAGGGAACAGTGCTATCTCTCTTCCTCTCCAACCAGTACATATCGGACGTCAGTCACAAAACAGACAGTTGTCACACAACACATTGTTGGTTGTGTATGTGATAGAAACAAACTTGAATATAGGGGGGTCAACACTGACTTTGTCAACTGAACTCAAGAATCTTATCAGAAAAAACTCAAATGAAACTGAACTCTGTCATGTACATCATTGTAAGGGATGGGTTTAAAACGTGAGAAAGGAAGGATGGATACATTTATCACAGCTATTGAGTATGCCGAAGATTAACATACATACACACAATCAACATTAATGTTAAAATATCAAATGCAAAATTTGTCAAACAGCAATATCTACTTCACAACTGTCACTATTATTAGCCATTATAACAAGTGATTATACCAGACTGAGTATATGTTAGTAAGTAAAACGTAATTAAAAAAATGTTGCTTTTATGTCCTTCAAGTTACATTGTCTCTCATATTGGAACATAAGACAAGATGGAGAATATTCCTTTTTGAAATTTCTTCTTTTTTTTTAAGAATAAAAGCCCACCTTCATCAACACTCAAATGTATGGTATTGACAGTAGCTGTATGCTCCTACTTTTGTCAATGCACAGGTACTTAATCATTATGCAGCTATTATGCATAGAGGATTGCACCATAACTTAAATGTGTGTGTGTGTGTGTGTGTGTTTTACAATGAACTGCTGTAAATGTGTGTGTATGAGATGTGTCTTATTGGATTGCTCTAGTATGGAGATGGTTCAACATTTTAGTATCTCTTTCACCTTCCTTTTCATCCATCTGTGTCTGAATGTCTGCCTAGTCCCACCTTATGTCATCTCTCCATCAGGGCAGCATCCTCAACAAACCTCGTTGCAAGCCGTTTCCAGATGCCACCCCAGTATCTGACTGTGCGGTATGTCCCAGCTATTCTCTGGGGCGGGGGTGTCTCATTACAATCAGCCTTCACCCCTCCCTGCCTCTCTGCTTGCTGCCATCAGTCCTGGTCTCTTCCTTTTCAAATCTACTTGCCTGTTTTGTCTTTTTGAGAATGAATTGGTTTCCACTGTTTAATGAAGGCTGCTTTCGTACCAGTGGGAGCTTCAGCTGCCATCATACAGCTTGATTGTAAAGTATCAGGTTTGGCTGGATATAGGGTCTCAAAGACTGGTTTTACTTGTTCAAGTGTCAGGGTTTGGAAAGAAACTAAACTTTTTTGAGTATCAAGGCTCTGTGATTACCTTTTCCTCCTTGACTTTCAACACACTGTCCATCTCCATGCTTGCTGGTTTTGGTGCTCTGGGTGTCTCAGCTTGTGATTTTCAGAGTGTCTGTGCAACCACATTTATCCCCAGAAGCATATTGCATCATTTGACGGTAAAAAAATTAAAAACTTAATTTTCTCGTTAATTCAGAAAAACAGGGCAGATTTAATTTTTGGAAAAGTATCTTGTTAATTACCAAATGAATGAAAAAGAAATTCAGACCTCAAAAATCCTGCCGGAATCTTTCACAGGCACGGAAGTATAATTACAAGTACAGTGTCAACAGAGGTAAGACACAAGTATCACAAACCCCCCAAAAAGAACAGATTAAACTAAACGGACGTGTGTGCTTCCATGAAAGTGAGAGCTTCGACATCCAAATGCCGAAGTGTCCTTGGGCAAGATACTGAACCCCAAAATGCCTCTTTTATAAAGTGCTGCAAAAAGATGCATTGTATGAATGTGTGTGTGTGTGAATGTAAAGCTACTGTAAAGCGCTTTGAGTGGTCATCAGGACTAGAAAAGCGCAATATAAATACAGACCATTTACCATTTATTTTGTTAATTCAGAAAAACCGAGCAGAATTAATTTATTTTGAATAAAACTTTTTTTTTAAACAATCTGCTGTTTTTTTAATTGATTAACAAGATAATTTACCTAAAATATAGCAAATTACAATCTGTTTTTCTGTATTAACTTAAGTCGATAATTCAAAAACGTTTTGATGTTTTTTTCACAAGTGAATGCAATATGCTTCCATGCCTCTGCTCTTTACTCTGACAGCATTTCAGTATTTCCTCTGAGATATCCTCTTTCATAGTACTTGGGTTGACAGGAGCTTGGCCCCTTGATTTCCAAGTTCTGATTGATTCAGATCCTATTGAACCTTTAGAGTTTACTTTATGTAATATCTTCAAACAATATTAATATGGGGCTCCTGAGGGTTCAGCTGACATAAATGATGATAAATAGTATTGATTAATGAATGGAGATGCAAGGTTTTTATTGACAGATATAATATGATGAAGATTATATTCAGGCACTTGTGGTTTATACAATGTAAAACAGCATTTTACATGTGTTGAATTTACATATTCAAATATGTCTGTGTCAAGTATCAAGTATAACAAGGGCACTTAATAGAATTGCTTAAAAAACGAATCAACTGATCATATGAAAAGCAGGAATCACAGTGTATGTGGATTTTCACCATTTCACATTTTTGATATGCCATCTTTCACTGCAGTCCTCGCTCTGTGAAGACAGTACATTACTTTAAAACATCATGAGATTTTGGTTGGTGTTAACTTAAAACCCGGTGCCACTGAAGCACTGCTACTAATTACCTATTTGTTAAATATTAAAATAAATGTATTACTTTAAAATGACATAACACAATGTTTGTATGCGTATAAATGCATGTTTAATTATGTCAGTTGTACATCACAGAAAGTTTTCCTATCATAACTGTTTTTGTCTTTCGTCCAATCAACTTCCTTTGTGTATTCTATGGAAGACCTCATGATGACAGCTTATCTTGTCATTGTAGCCACTGTCATTAATTACTCTTTCACTGGGTGAGGCTGGCAGGATAAGCGTTGTAGCCCCAGGACCAAACCCAGACTATAGGAGCACCACGGAGGAGAGAAAAGGAATGTTCATCTTTCAGACCTCTGTGCCAAAAAATATTATTTTCCTTTCTTGTCTCTGTGGTGAGGGGAGAGATGAAGGTCTTCTATGCTGTTGCTGGTTTTCTGGAAGTATTGAGACAAAAAAGGGCGCTATGCACCTTTTTTTCTTTCTTCTTTGATTTTATAAAGCCAATTTGTGTTTGTTCCAGGCAAAATGTCCAGAGGAAAGAAACGCAGCAGTAGCCCTTTCCTCTGTCTTTTTGTGCTGTAATTATTTGCAGTGTAGCCTTTCTATGCAGCTATTTGCATTTGCAATTAATGCTTGTGTCATTTCCCTTTTGATGTTGGATTTTATTTAATAAGTTACTATTATGAATTTAAGTTTTTAACAAAGGGCACTCACAAAGGGGCAAATGGAGTCACTGAGCAGTTGGACCTAAAGTGCACAGTTCAAAGCATAGCAAGGTGTTGTTTTCAAATTCAGATCAATGTCACTAATGGATGATTACACAGACAACCAATCAGAGATTGTTTTCATTTCACAGTGATCCTTGTAAAGAGAATGGCCAAACTTGAGTTTTGGACTCAGACTACATCTTACATATGTGAAAACACTTATCAGCTAGTTGTTCTGTGTTGGTAATGACTGTGTCCATCTGTTTTAGCTCTCCATGCTCTTCACTGAGGAGTGTGATAAGGTGCGGGACCTGATGCACGTTCACTCCTTCAGCTATGACTTCCACCTGCGAGTCGTTCACCAGTACTTGGTTGGCTGCCACATGACGCTGCGCCAGGGCTACCAGCTCACCGACTTCCTGGATGACTTTAATCACCCAGACATTCCCAAGTTTGGCCGCAACCATGTCGTCCAAGGTGACTTTGGTATTAAGATTAACCAAAGATCTAGACTAGAAATTATTGTCATGCAAATGACTACATCAGAAGATGTTATGTCATTAGCTCAGTGTCCTAAAAGGAGAACATTTGTTATTGGTGTTATAATCTGCTTTTATGCACAAAGGATGGTAGGATTTTACAAGAAATTGAACACCAATCAAGATTGTATACATTTCAATGACAAAGCCACTGAATCACTGCTTCATGTGAAGTTATGTGTTTTCACACTGGCTTCTATCATTTCTACAGGTGCATTATCACCAGCAAGTATATAACAAGAGAAATAGATTGTAAATCATAGAAGCAAGTGGAGGCTACATGTGGACTATGCAGTCCTAGCAGAAACCCTCTGTAGGTGATATTACTGTATGTCAGTTAATCAAAAAATAGGTCAAAGGCAATAGTGCTCTTTCTCGCTCACTCTCAGTGAGAGTAATCAAAAATCAAATCACATTGCTTTCTGGGTAAAATTCTTGTCTTCTCCAACTGCTTATCAACAGTGGATGATTATTATTATTGATGGTCATTATTTTAGGCAAACCGTCTAGAAAGACAACAAGCATGTGGACATGCATGAACAGGTGAGTTGCACCTGATGCAAGAGGTCGGGGGAATGTGTTTCTACAATGAGTCTGAATAAGATGTCCGATGTACAAACAGTTGGAGGCTGTCATTTCCATGTCCATCTTTATTTAGAGTCATTAGTTTCCACCCTTTAATTTATGAAATAAATAATTGCTCAACACATCAGAGGAGTTCAATGCCATCTTTAAATACCTGACACATTCTCCATGTGGGCAACAGGGAGCATCTCCATCTCTACTGGGATGATAACGGCTCACCAGCTCTACAACTACATCACTGACCACGCCAGCACCTATGGAATGAAGCCACTCCGGATGTCCAAGACTGCAGTCACCACTGACAACAAGAAAGGCACGCCTGACCTGCACGAGTACGCTCTGGTGACACTGTGGAACAGGTACAAGCCACTCAAATCAAGAATATATCTTTTATATTCTTCTATATGAGATACTTTATTTCAACCCTCTTTTCGTTCCAACTTTAGTTCAGGCTCTTACAAAGATCTGGAGGGCCTGCACCACCACGATGATTTTGATGTGTCCCTTATGGTGTGCCATAATGCAGCTCCATTTGAGGAGCAGTCAGATGGGGAGCGGCATTTGCTGAGGTATGAAGATGAGAAAAAGACAAAAAGTGCTGAATAACAAATGTTAAAATTAATTGGTGAGACATCGGTGAACATTTTGCAACATATTACCATTATCCACTTGCACAAGCAGTTGATATTAGCTGCCATTACACACGGGAATGTTGCACCCTTATTCCACCTTGCAAGTCTGTGTAAAAGGTACAAACACTCAATGAGGGAATTTTTTTTCTTCTTTTTTTTTGCCAGTCATAGGGGCTAATTTGACAAAATACTCCTCAAAATTCTCATTTTTATGTGTAGGTTGCGTTTCTACGTGATCATGACCAGTCAGAGAGAGCTCTTCCCCCACCTCACAGCTGACATGCGCCGCTTCAAGAAGCTACCACAGATTCACTGTGATCCAGGTGAGCTGGGCGGCCGGCTTCCTCCAGATCGAGCAGAGGCCAGTGGGTCACGTATTCCCGAGCAGGACAATTGGGAGGAAACATCACCCCATGTTGCAGCCACCTCAGCCCCCAGTGATGGGAATGAGTTTTATCCTCTGGTGAGGGGTGGACCAGAAGCTCAGGGACTGCTCTACCCCTCCCCTTTGTTTCCTCTACTCAACAATGAGGTTGCATTAGCACGCAGACAGATCCAGGCCAGTGTGGAGCAGGCCATGGGTCACTGCCGCAGGGATAACCTGTGGAGGAGACTGTTCCATGGAGAGCACCTGGCTCTGGACAAACTGAAGCTGACCAAGCTGTCATTTAGTGAACTGGAGGAGCTGCTGGCAGCTGTACAGAGCCGCTCGGTCGGGGAGATTGACCCACAACTGGTAAGTCTCCCACTTGGGCCTTGTCCTACATTTTAACTAGCCTTGATGTGGGTGCTGACTTGTAGGATAGTGAATTAATGTCAAAGATTGCAGAGATTTGGGGAAATGGTCGCATCTGTTTAAAAAAAATGGAAATATTGGCTAAGAACTTTGACAAGTAAAATGATCAGCAAAGTTGGAAATAAACTGCCATTCTTGCTACACTGACTTGCTTTTAGTGAATGAAAAAATAATGTTGTCCTGTGGATTTGAAAAACATACATTTTCAAGCTTTTGATTTTATAGAATCTTTTTGCTTTTATTAAATCGTTCCATGTCAGTAGGCTGTAGTCCAAGTGGACTGTTGTCAAAGGTCCAACATTCAAGTGTAAGACTTATTTAATTAATATTTATTAAATGTGTTTTGTTTGCTTATTCAAACATGTTTATGTGGTCTAATGCCTCTGCACCTGTGACAGCCAGTGTCCAGAGGCATTTCAGGTAGTCCATCGGTCTGTCTGTCTGTCTGTCTGTCTGTCTGTCCCTCCCTCCCATTTTCTGAATATAATATCACAAGAACACCTTGAGGGAATTTGGTACAAACATTCACTTAGACTCAAGGATGAACTGAATAGATTTTGGTGGTCAAAGGTCAAGGTCACTGTGACTGTTTATCAGACAAGTTCAGCAACTTTTTTTTACATCAATCGACTGTAATATTTACTCTAACTGAATGTGCAGATAAAAAACAATGAAAGTCTTTAGTGTCAGTGTTGATCATTGTGTTCATGATGAATGTGTGATGTGTTGCTGCAGGACTGTTTTCTGACCATGAGTCCAGCCTGGTACCAGAGTCTGATCAAAGTCCTGCTGAACCGCTTCCCTCAGAGCTGTAGACACTTTGATGACAACGGCATCCAGTACCTGGTGAGAAGATGTTCTTTATCTCTATCATCTTTCTGTATGATAAGTAGTGGCCTCTCCTCAAACAGTAAAGTGTTATGGCTTTTACAAGCCGACTAGCATGTTTCTTTTTACTACCAGTTGGCACAGCAGTGTATTAATAGTGTGTGATAGAAAGAAGAAGCAATGTAATCATTGTCAACTGCACTGTTGTAACTTTTGACAAAACTAGACTTGATTATTGTTTAAAGTTGGGTATGTTTTATTCAGCTTCTGTCAACTTTGTATGTTTACGATGATCAAATTACTTATCGCTTCTTAGAGGCATTATTTATCAGGTTTTCCGTCAGTCTGTATGTTCGAACATCCATCCTATTCTTGTGAACACAATATCTTAAGAATGCCTTCAGGGAATTTCTTCAAATTTGTAGAACTATTCACTAGGACTCAAGGATGAACTGATTAGATTTTAGTGGTCACGATGACCTCACATAGCACATTCTTGTGAAGGTGATATCCCTGGAACATTGTCAAGGAATCCTTTCAAATCTGGCACAAACATTCACAAGAACTCAAACATGAAAGGATGTTATCTTGGTGGTCAAAGCTGACCTTGCATTGTTGAGTAGTAAGACAGAAAAGTAGTATTTTGGTGACATAAACCTTTAAAACTCAGGCCCTAGAAATCTTGTCCTGAAACTGTAGCTTTCAGTCATCAGATTTATTTGGTGGCACTAAAAACCATAGGGTCCTAGAATTGAGGTCCTAAAACTGTAGTCTCCAGTTTTGCAGGAACCTACTGGAAAATCCCATGAGTAGACCAAATAACAAATATTTATTTTTATAATTATTTTCAGTAGTCTCTTGTCAGTATTTGGTTCAGCAGGATAGTATGTGTGGGATTTAGTAAACTGCAGTGTTCGTGATCATCGTAATGATGGAACATATCACCCTATGCAACAGTGTGGATCACTGATGTGGTGTTTTTTTTCACTTTTTGAAATAAATGGCTCCCTGTGGCTGGATGCACACAATACAGCAAGTATTGTGTGTGTGTGTATGTACTTCTGCACTTCTACATTTTTTACTGTGTAACCTTTGGACATAACATAACCTCACATAATTATCCTGGATACTGCAGTTGCTGTTTTGAGAAACATGATAGCCGCTTTAACACTTTTAAATGAGATCTTTTTTTATGATGTTTGACATTAAAACCATTTCTTTATGTCTAACATCATAAGAAAGATTATAAGGACCAATAAATTAACGAGTAATCAATGTAAAAAAATCCATCTAATCAATATCAATTTGTCTTGTTTAGGCTGTTCTGAACCAGAAGTTCACAGACTGCTTTGTTCTGGTCTTCTTGGACACCCAAGCAGGAAAAACAGTAGGTCATTACACTTTAATGATAATAAATTATGAATCTATTGTTGTTGCATAAATGTCATTTTCTTCCTCAAACAGAGTCTAAAGGTTGTGTTTCGTGAGCCACTGCCATCACAGCCACAGGCCGGCAGCAGCCCTCCTCCCCAGCTGGTGTCCATGTATCATCACCTGGAGTCTGTCATCAACACAGCTTGCTATAACCTTTGGACTGGACTGTTATAGTGGATCAGTGCTGGACCTACTGCAGCACATGTCTATGTGACCACAGTTAACTTGTAAAATCAGGAAGCAACAGTAGTATGAGATTCAAAAAACAATCTGAAAGCCAAAGACAGTTATCAGTTAGCTCACCTAGCCCTAAACAAGTCAGATAAAACTTAAAGTCTCCTAATTGGTGTGTCAGACCTTATTCTCTGGTGTTTTTGCTTTTAACTGCACAATCATGCATGCATGATAACCACATCTCAGAATACAGGTGAAATTAAACCCATACAGAATGGCAGCAGTATACATGTGTCACCATCTAGTGTTAAGTCAATGTTACATTTATGTAGGCGAGTGATGATCCCACCCTGATCTGACCCTCTAACCCTTTTGGGGGAAAGAAATGCCTTAATCATGCAGGTGCAGAGTATGTATACTTTGTTAAGAAGCACGTACATCATAAGCATTTGGGCAGTTGAATGTTGTACTGTATGATGATACTGTGTTGTTTTTCTCTGTACACATATACTAAAACATACTATATACACTAAAATTACCGATAGTGTATTTCCTTGAGTGAGGCTAACAGGGTTTCCCAAATTATGAAACATCTCTAACATCTGAGGAAATTACATTTATGGAACAAAATACTAAGCTTCACTAAGCTTGTTTGTTTTGTTAACTCATACAACAAAACATAACAACTTCCATCCATTCATTATCTATACAGCTTTTTCTTTGAGGGTCACAGGGGGAGCTGGTGCCAGTCCCAGCAGACATTGGGCTAAAGGGGGTGTACACCCTTGACAGGTTACCAGCTTATTGCAGGGCTAACATACATAGACAAACTCCCATTTACACCTTTGGACAATTAAGGACAACGTGCAGGTTTCACACAGATAGACCCCGGCTGAACAGGGATCTGAAGCAGGAACCGTCTTGCTATGAGGCAACAGGGATAACCACCCCCAATATATATATGAGTTTCAAGTCAATGACCACGACTTGAAACTTATATTATTTTATTATATATTCACAATGTACAGATCAACAGTGTGTCCTTCCCACTGAAGATGCACGTAATCTGATCTGTCAGCAAGACCAGTCACAGTAAAATACTTCTCCAGTACTACTGAAACAAGAGCACCACATGGAACAGCTCAAACTGCACAATGCTCAATAGCAACCAGGCCAGTTAAGATCAGGCTTCATCCAGCAAAGACCACATATAGAATGAAATGGTGAACTCTTTAACTCTTTCTGTAATTTTTCAGCTACATTGATAAAGAGACAGTGTATCAATATTCAGGTCAGCGGGCAACTGATAATGTAATTTCAATGTAAATAACCTGAGCAACACATCGCAATGATGGAGAAATAAATTTGCACAACCTGTGAAAAGTGGAGGGGGACAAAGTCTGGGGCAGACAGTCTGGATTCCTCTGAGTCTCAGAGATCAGGTCTTGTTTGATCATTCACAGCAGTGAGCAATAATATGGAAAGCAAAAAAGATTGGTAAACAAAATGCTTTGAGGTTGGTGACCTCCCTGGAGTAGTATGCTATGACACACACTCTGATGAGGAGACATTTCGGTTTTCAGCAGTTTATAATTCGTCCTGAGACACATCACCAGTCAGTCATAAGCAACCAATAACAAACACTGACTATAAAACTGCACAAGTTTAATATTTGCAGTTTGATTAATAGGTCAGTTTTCTCTGATCTTGTGCCTTCTGATAGCATTTTGCTATCTTTTCATACCACATCAGTGTTTGGTATTTTATATTGACAGACAGCTGAGATGTCAGTACAGAGTGAAAGACTTAAGTTTAGATTTCTATCATTGACTTGCTTCCCACTTACACCCCACTGCCATAACTGCAGCCTTGAAGTGCCTTTCTCTGTTTGTTAATTTTTAATTCTCCAACCTTTGAAGTCATACTGTTGTCATTTCATCAGCTCTGCATATACAGCCTTTGGAAACATACCCTCCTGTTATGCAGTGAAAGTGCCCGAGTCACTTTGGATAACTGACAAAAATTGCCTTCCACCAGCAGGATAATGGGTCATATCAACTTACAAGGTGATTTGCATGATAGCCTGCAACATGTCATTAGCACAGTGTACCAAATCATGTTCAGGGTGATGAGTTTGACGTGTATTCTGAAACAGTGTGACTGGTACTCATCCTCAGTTTATAATAAGGCTTGAAACCAGCCTCATATAAGTGTTAAATCACAGCAATTGTCGGGATGTTACATATTCAAGCCATGTTTTTGCACATTTTCATTGAGAGGAAACTTTACACAGGTTTGAGCTTTATGCTTATAAATGAAGAGATTTTGAACAGAGCAGCATTCTCAGAGAATTCAGTCTAAATAGTAAACACTGGATATTAATGATGCAAATTTGAATTGCAACATGTTAGCCTTTAGCATTTTGATGCTGTAATATAAACACTGGACCCTCTCCAATTTCAGAGCCCATCTGCTATTGTATAAGCCTCTACAGGCGATATTTTGGGGCTTCTGGTGTGGATAGACGATATCCGGGCCAAGACTTGTTTGGCAAAACAAAAAACAGTGACACTTTCTGTTGGTGTTTCAGGTCCAGATGACAGGCTAATGTCTATTAAAAGCTTAATTTATCTGCACATTAATGCAGATAAATTAAAAAGTTGATCTATTTAAGTCAATGTGACCTGTATATTTTGCTCTCTACATGTACTGTTTACCTGCGGCCAAAAACGAAGCCTGCTCAAACTTGATTGGTCAAACTAGGGAGGGAAACCATAAGACTTTTACAAAATCTTGTGCCTCGCTTACAGATTTTACATATTCACATGCAGAATCTGTTTATTAAGATTATGCCCTCCCCAACTGTATAATGTATATTATGTATGTACACAATACTTAATACAGTATGTTAAATTCTAAATAAACCAGTAGGATAAATAAGCGTGATGAATCATTTTTCCATCATCAGCTGTAGCTGATTATAATGTCAACTGTATATTCATTCTTAGCTTGTACACTGGGCCACACAAGACAGAAGCCAACACTGCACTCTCAACTCAAGTTAAGGCTGCCCGATTTATTGAATGATAACAATTCATGCCTCTATGATCTCATATTTTATACAATTACGATTATGTGACTAAGAACCTTACATCAAAGTAGACTGATGTTCAGTACATATACAAAATAATAATACATTTAATACTGTATATTTGAGACTTGGGTTGAAAAAAACTAAGCTTTGTGGTTGAATCACCTGGTCATCTCTTGCTGTATCCAGTAATCTTTGATCCAATCCAGACCTTCCTCTGTGGAGCCTGAAGAGTGAAGAGTGATGATGATTATGCTTGTTTTTTCCCCTCAACCTGTTTCCTTTTATAGTATTAATTAAGTGAAAAGCTCACTGACCTAGTGGCTTGTATTCACAGCCAATGTATCCCTGGTAGCCATTGTTTTCCAGTGTCTTGAACAGGTAGTTGTAGTTGAGCTCTCCTTTACTGTCAGGCTCGTTCCTGCCTGGAACCTGAGCAATCTGTATATGACCTGTGAAACACAACCTCTTTTTTGACTGCTGCATCATGAGTTGTTCATCTGTATTACCTCCAGAGGCATGTAGATTTTTCAGTTTGATCAAATCTTACCAATTATAGGGAAATATTTGTTGATATTGTGTGTCAGGTTTCCATCCATTATTTGCCAGTGAAAGATGTCCTGAAAAAGTTCAGTTAAGTCAACATTTGTTACGTCAATCCATCCCTTGTGGTTTGTTATTTTTATTCAACTTATGATACATTTCACAGAACCCACCATTTGCAGCTTGATGTTTGGCTGTCCAACTTTTCCCAGTATAACAGCCGCTAAAGACACAAAAATGAGAATCAGCTGTGACAACTCTGGCAGTCAGCCAGACGTGCAGCTGTCAGACTAGACAGATGAAGTAAGATGCTGGTGTACTCAAACTGTACAGCATAAACTCTTCTGGCCACACTAATATAATCTGAGTAATTTCTATTTAGGAGTATTTAATTTGAGTAACTCAAGATTTAACAGTATTTGCTGTGTACGTCCATCAAAGTACTCACACAAACTTAAGTTACTTTTTCTTTGCAAAATAACAATTTTATTGATTGTGTTGACCAACAACCTTATATAAAATATGGCATGCAATTTTATAAATATTCTGTAAAAGAACATACATGTAAAACTATTTTTAAACGTCCATTTAAATGTTCTACTATCTAATAATGCTTCCAGGAGCAGAGGACATAGGAAATACTGATACTAAGCCTGTTTAACAGGTCCGCCTTGGACCGGCTCTTAGGGGACACATATACTATATATGTTACTGACTTGACTTCTTACTTGGAGTCTCGGTGCTTTATTGTTACAGATACAGGATCTGTGGCTGTATAGTGGATTGTGGTGGCATCTAATGCTGGATTATGATTCCAACTAGATTGCTTTGATGTACAATATGTCTGCCCACTTATACTAATTTCACTGGCAATACGGCTCTGATTACAATTGGCATTGCTGATCTCTGTCAGACATTTTCTGTTGGATAAAAACTTTAAATATTGATACACTTCTTTATTAATGATAGACCCTGTCTTTTCTATGAATTTCTTGTAAATATTGTCATTATAATGTAATGTTATTTGTTGACTCTACTCTAGTACATGTGACATCTATTGCACTTCTGTCCAAATTTTCATAATTAATTAATAAAACCTAAACCAACTACAATAAGTTTACACTAAATAATAGTTTCAGTGCCTATTACAGCAAAAAATACTCTCCAAAACTCCAAACTTGTAATCAACTGTCTCCCCACCACTGGGACCAGAGACACCCACAATGCCAGCTGATGGACTTGACACGCAATCAGTCAAACGAGGAGCATCCCCTTGTTTTCTGATGTATCCTGTGCATCACCAGGTGCTTCATTACGTTTGTGGTGGTCTTCCCTCCCTCTCTCAGCTCCCTGCTCTTGCTCAGACATGCTGCACGTCCCATTGTTCAAACCCTTTCACATGAAATACAGCTATACTTTCAAAAGTTAAGCTTTAGGAATTTAGCTGTAGTGTTGCCTCAAGTTTGAGGAATCAACTCACTAACTGTAAACTAACTTCATGTGATGCCAGAGCCATGGAGAAAGCGTTTTTCCACCAGGGTTAAGTGTAATATTAACTTAGCACATGCATTCATATTTAAGGGCTATACAGGAATCTACTCAAATCCAGCTTTTCTAAAACAAAGAGATTTTTGTCTTGACACAAAACCATTTTATTATTTTCTAACAGCATCAGATATAGAAAACAGCAATCAGTCTGTTCCTGAGTATAAGAAAAAGTTGTACATACTGGTTAGTGATTGTGTTGTCTCAGTTTCTTACCCTGATGAGGACAATCCAGAAAATACCTGGGATCTGTAATCCTTGTGTTGATCGGTTCAACCAATCCAGTGATTCCTTCCTGTGAGGAACAGAGACATTTTCCCTCTAATTCAGATTAACATTGAGAGCATCATTAAAATAATAACCAGTATGCTCAATATTTTTTTTGCTGTTTTTAGTTTGTGCCCTGCCTTTTTCTCTTTTACTTTTTGTCACTTTGAGCAAACACAAGGTATGTTCTGGGAAGTTGCCTTCGTAAACTCTGCAATGCTGCTAATTGATGAATGAGTGTAAAAGGACTTATATTGTAGTATGACATTTCCCTTGTCATGACCAAACATGTAACCAAACAGTAATTGTGTGTCTCATTGATGGTTTTTTTTGTAAGAAAGAGAGTGAGCAGAGATGTAACTAGAGTATTATAGGCCTTGAGACCTTATGGGTCCTGAGGCACACAGTGAACAATAGTAGCCCGGAAGTTGGGTCCAGGGGCAGGTTTCACACCAAGGTGTGAAGCACCCTTGGAGAGCTCTGGAAGCTCTCCTTTGTCCTGAAGACAAACATGTGGTCAGGCTTTGGCTACACGTGTAGGCCCAACTATTGTTCACCAATAGTAGGTCCCATCACAAGAGATTCAACAATCACAACACCCCTGGCTGGCTATTCAAAAAAATTATTGTCAAGAATAATCAATATCAGATCTGCTGTTCCAAATCAATATCAAGTTCCACACCTTCTCATTCTGAGCTAAATACTGTTATCAGCAACCACAAAGACTTAGGGAAACACTCCTCTCCCTCCTTAACTGCATCTAGCTAAGGAATCGATTTAACATCCTGAATTCACACAACTTTCCTCCTCTGTCATACAGTCAGTGCTGTGAATTTGCCACCTCCTCCAAGTCTGATGGCCCAGTTTTTGACTACAGACAAACTCACCACGCATCTCAAGTGTTTCTCTATCTCTTTTTGTCTCTGCATTTGAAATTGTGGTGGACCTCCCTTCTAAGTTTGCCGGAAACGAGAGGCTTATCACCGACTATAACTAATGATAACCCATCCCACCAGGAGAGGCTGGTGTCCAGAGGCGGAGGTCTGGGTGTCAGACTCCATCTCATCTCTGCAGAACCAGGTGGATGACCCACAGAGTAGCTGTTGGATCCCACAGGCTTCACAAGACAATTCAGACATGCAAGATTACATACTTACTCTGTTTTCCCTGATAGAAACATTTGAAGACATTGCAGACAATATGTTTAAAATTAATATTAAATATTTTTCAGATCTCTTAATTTATTGAATGCACAAAGGCACACCATTTAATGTTGCCACGCTTATGGTATAATAATCACAACACTGTTGTTCAAATGAAAAATGCTACATAAATCATCCTACAAGCAATCACACAAAGCATGGGGTGCAGGTGCAGAAGAATGTGCTTAAGAATAATATACTGTTGTGATTTGGCACTATACAAATAATATTAAATTGAATGTCGGACAGAAAAAGTGACCTACTTTTGACAGGATATCAGCAGCATAGGTAAGGTTCTGTACAAAGACGGCCTCCATCTCCTTGACAACTGCTGTCCTTTGTGAACCCACAGGAACCCTTCCTGCCATCAGGTGGATCCTGATAATAGAAAATGGATGATGCACTGCTTCCACTACAACTGTTATGACAATCTGTCAAACAGGTAAATAGACAGGTAAATAACACCATCTAGTAGAACTTTACTTGATCATTTCAGGGTCAGGAGCCATTTTGAGACATGACCTGCAGGTAAAATCAGTAGAATTGGCTATGGTGTTTACCCGAAATTTGCCTAGCACACATGCACAACACAGCAGGAGGTTCTTTGCACAGATGCGTTTAAAACAGCCGGTGGAGCAGCAGGGTGCAGCAAATAGAAGCAGGAAGTGACATATTAACTCCGCTGCGGAGATCATGTGATTTACTTGACAATACACAGACACTGGTGTTGGCTCTTATCACCACACAATCTCTTGACATCTTTGTCATTGTCTTCTGTGTGTGTCACCGCATGTTCACCAGGATACATCAGCTTTGGATGCAAGTACATTTACCCATAATAAACCTACACTGGTTCACTGTTGCTACAGGCCATGACAAGAAAACCACACCCCTCAAATCTAACTGCAGGGTTTTCCATTGTATTAAAAGACATCAAGACAGGCACAAACATTTTAGTGCAGTGCCTTAGGAAAAAATAATATATGCTGAGAGGATTATTAATCGAGGACTGATCAAACACTGAGACTGATTACTGATGGAATTATATACATTTGCTCTGAGAGGAGCTGGTGCCCCTTTTTCATAACAAGTGCAAATTCATCGTAATGCTACATTACTGACTGGCTTTTTATTTTTCTTCTTTCACAGAACTGGTGTTTCTTCTGTTTCTTCCATTAAAGTTTTATCTCCAGTTTATATTTTTTCCTTATTTATCTATGTTGCATTGTGATTCTTTTTTAATTGTTCATGGGATTTATATTTGTAAACCTCATTGAACAGCCTTGCTGTTGACCTGACACTTGCTTATACACTAACCGGACACTCGCACACCTGTTCAGTTGCTTGTTAACACAAATAGCTAATCAGCCAATCACATGGCAGCAACTCAGTGCATTTAGATATCTAGACGTGGTGAAGACAACCTGCTGAATCTTCTGATACTTCCAGCAGGATAATGAACCATGTCACAAAGTTCACATTATCTCAAACTACTTTCTTGAACATGACGATGAGTTCACTGTAGTCCAGCGGCCTCCACAGTCACCAGACCTCAATCCAATAGAGCACCTTTGGGATGTGGTGGAACAGGAGATTCACATCATGGATGTGCAGCTGACAAATCTTCAGCAACTGTGTAATGCTATAATGTCAATCTGGACCAAAATCTCTGAGGAATGTTTCCAACACCTTGTTGAATCTATGCTACGAAGAATTAAGGCAGTTCTGAAGGCAAAAGGGGTCCAACCCGGTACTAGCAAGGTGTACCTAATAAAGTGGCCAGTGAGTGTATATTCCTTTGATATGCAAAAAGAATTATGTTATGCTCCACCCATCTTCACTTAGCTGATTCCTCACCTTTTGCAGTCCAAAGCTTTTGCATACTCTATGGCCATAACCAGACCCTGTCTGAACTCTGCCTCTCTTCCAGGAACTGCTCCAAGACCAAGATCGCCTGCCTTCACATCTCCTGGAAAACACACACACATTCCATCATTACCACCAGCATTATCCTGGAATTATAACACGCCACAGATGTCCAGCTTTTAACTCAGGGTAAGGGGACTTTTTTTTTTTTAAGTGCCATATTAAGCTATTGTTTATTATTAACACATATATCACATTAGGGCTCCAGACTAACTTTAACATTGGTTGCACCGGTGTGCCTCACTTTTTCATGAAGGTGCACTATAGCGCATAGTTTAGGTGCACCTACATTTTTTCACTGCTCCTTTTGACATTGCAATAATACACCTAATATTAATTTTTTTGACAGCTCCCATATACATTGGTAATTTTTTAATTAGGGCAAGGTCTAACAACTGATTTCCCAAATCAATTTGATTCAATATTTGATTAGATATCGCCAAATTCCTTGCACAGTTCAACATTGGTTTGAAATATCCTTAACTGAAATATATATATATATATTGTCTTAGAAATATATTGTCTTAGAAATTGAAAAAACACAACCAACACAAGATGATTTACGTGACCTTTTAAGTTTGTATTGTATTAGTATTGCGGCGTTTCCTCTAGGATTGTGTGCGTGTCTGCTCGTCTCGCTTCCCCTCTTGTCACTTGGACTGTGACGTCCTGACTGAGTGCGTTACGCTACGTCTCGAGTTGTGTGTGGCAGCTGAGCTGAGAGCGCAGTCTGAGCCAAAACATGGACAGCAGACACTGATACGGTAGAAACAAACTGGTGCTACATGTTTGCAGCAGTGGATCAGACAGTCTTGCGGGTCGCATAAAGCCCAGAGGCCGGAAGTTCTCCACCCCTGGATGAACCTGTGGGCAGTTTACCGGGAGGAGTGTTGATGAGCACCACCTCCACGCCTGCAGCCGCTCTGGCCCTCTGGAGCTCCTTCAAGTCGGAGTCGTAGAGCCAGGCTGCCTCCACAGCCTGGAAGCCAGCCGAGGCAGCGGCGTGTATTCTCTGGCTGAAGTCTGGCATCTCTGTGAACAACCAGGAAATATTAGCACAGAACTTCAGCGGAGCCATATTTGTTTCACCACAGAGGGTCAGGCCCGCTAAGGCGGAAACAGAACAGTCAACTTTCAAAACAAAGCAGCACACGTCATGTCACAGAAAACTGATCCATGAAAACATTTGCAAATAATTAGTAATGGTTTTATTTTGAAAAAGTCAACGGATGTAGTATGTATGTTGCAACCTCAGTCTGTGGTTACAACCTCGACTTTTGACCACATACCTTGTGTGTCATTTGCCTTGCAGCGTGTTTCCTGTAATACCCGATTTCCCCCAAAGTGAACCAGGAGTTCATACTTATTATGCATTCTATAAATATGTACCTTAGATTTTCCTTTTGTCTAGCACTTTTAAAACAACAGAGCTTTGGGTCTTTTTATAAAATCTGTGTTGAAAAATGTGTTAATGTAAAAATGTGAGAACCCAATAAAAAAGTGCAAACACATTGTGATTTAGAAATTTCGAAAAACTGTAAGAATGAGTATTCATACATATCACTTGATAGAATGTTTATATATTTCATCCTGATTTGCTGCAGGTGAATTTTCCATTGTGGTTGCAGCTAAAAGTGTTGTTAGAAATAACAGCATCATACACAGAGTCTAAGTGCCTCATGCTTTAGAGAGAATATCTGAATTCATTATCAGTGAGTAACCAGTCAATTTCAGAAACTGAGTGCATGTGTAGATTATAATTCAATTATCGTCAGTGTTTTCACATAATTAACATTCAGTTACACGTCAATCATATTACAATCAATCAATTCTAGACAACATGTGACATTAAAATCACTTCTCATGAATGTACTCTGACAGTAACGTTGTTTGCTATAGCAGTTTCACATCTCTCCATTAAAGTTAAGTAGTCCTGTGTACTCAAGTAAACACCATTGCTATACAGTATGTAGCTGTGCATTTTCCATGATATTGTTGCATTATTGGCACGATGTAGCAAAATGAGAGATTATACCCCATTCATAAGTTAAAACTTTAGGTTGATGGGATGACAGCTGTATTTTAAACATGACATTTAAGTTTATGTCTAGTGAAGTCTGGTCAGTTGTCTTTTATTATGCAGTAAGCATTTACTCAATGTATGGGTTAGAAAACTAAGATGGTATTTTTAAGGTTTGTTATATACTTTAGCAAATACCTAAACAAATAAAGGAGGATTGAAATGTGGTGATTTCATATTGTGCACAATTAAACATATCAGATCATTATTACTTAAACTAAATTTGGTAAGTACTGTTCATCAGTGACTACCCAAACAAACACTACAGATTTATTTGTACAGTCAAATCTGTTATTTGTAGAAAAGAACATTTAAATATGTATGAGGGACATCATGAATCAAGAGAAGAAGGGGGCCCATTGAAACTGCTTGTGTATAGGGCTCAGAATCTTGTGCTTTGCCCCTGCTGCTGATATCAAACTGTTGAAAGCATCTCTTCGCCCTTTTTATTTACCCTATGAATTCCAAAAGCTGTTGTAGACTTGCTCGATGGAGCACAAGGGGTAAGAGTCCACTGACCGTAGAGCTGGAACTGGGGTCAGCCGGACTGCTGACGGTGGAGCAGGAACTGGAGCAGGGGTCGGCCCGGCCACCAACCACGTTAGTGTGTCTCCAGATCCTCCAAATTAGCTTACAGGAATCCTCAGGAGGTGCACAGTTTGCTGCTTAGAGCCCATGCAGGTCAGCTCATTCACCAGCCCCCCGAATTCACAGACCTTTTTGAAAAAATATGCGTGGGTCCATGTCTGGTTGAGTCAATCAGTCATGATGTAGTGAAGGTTGTTATGGAACATATATGTTACACAAGCACAATAATATAAGTAATACAAACAGTAATAAATAAATAACAATAATAACTAAACAGTAATAACAGTTATACCAGTGTCCTTTATATATCCAGTAGTCTCTATTTGCACAGTACAAGAAAAGCCACACCCATAAACTGAAATAAAGATAATAATATCAATAATTGTGATTTTTTTAAGTCTTCATTTATTTCCAAAATTATACTGGAATTTACACCATGGCATCCATTTTACATAGACTAAATGTCTTTGCTTAAATGAATCCAATTTCGTAGAAATATTACTACACTGTCATCTACATAAGATCAAGTATTTATTTACGAAAATGGCTTTATGTTGCATCTGTAAATAGCTCAAGTACTTTCAATAGATAGATAGAAAATTACATGGTTATCTTTGCAATGACAATGAGGGGGACATTAACCCCCTGAAATCTGAACTTGGTCTGAAGTCAGTGCTGCAGTATTTCATTGTGCCTGAGCTCATTATCAAACCAGTGATATGCACCTATATAAGCAAACCCCCACGGGCACTCATTCTGCTTGTTACACACAGAGATGATCTACTAATGTATGAAGAAAAAACACATTTCACCTCCTCTGCAGAAAGGTGTTACCCATTAAGCTCAGTTCACGGTACAGAAACCTTAGATCAATTGTCCAGTAACCAAAAAGTCCTTTATCAGAGCCAAATCTGTGTTCAATCAGCAGTTGGCAAATACTGTCGGTGAACTCTTCAAAGACACAACTCAAGGAGTTTGCCATGCCCACAGGAGGTGGCAATTCCCCACAAATCCGACTAGAAATTAGGTGTAATGTTAAACAAAGGTTTTGCATTCAATTCCACTAGGAGTAGACATCCAGCTGTACTTAAAAACAATGCACTGTGGTAAAATTGAAGTCATTTATAATAAGAAATAACAATAGATTATTAATAACTCATTAATAATAACAGCCACTTTAAATGCTCAAAGTGTTACTAGTGTTAAGAAGCAGTGTAAATGCTGGGTTTCAAATTGAATTTGAATGACAGGGCTGTAACACTTAGATGACACCATTGAGGCATGTTATGTTTTTTTTCTGGGATGGATTTTCATTTTCGGTTATCTATGCCTTTAAGGACAGAGGATTCGTCAGCACAAGCAGCAACGACACAGTCTTGGCAGTGTATTCATCAACACGAAAACGAAGGACCCCTTCCGGTACTGCTGAATGTGCTCTACTAGCCTCCTCCCTCAATCAATCAATCAATCAAATTTTATTTTCATAGCCCATATTCACAAATCACAATTTGTCTCATAGGGCTTTACGAAGGTGTGACGTCCTCTGTACTTAACCCTGGGCAAGAGTAACAGAACACAGACAAAAACTAATGTAGAATCCTCAGAGAGAGCCACATGTGAGGGATCCCTATCCCAGGATGGACAGAAGTGTAATAGATGCCACATGTGATGGAGAATATCAAAAAAATAAGAATGATTACAGCATTGGTTAGGTTCCAAACTCCAGTGTGAATTACCTAAGAGTTATCATTGATGAAGATCTGTCACTTACCCAACACATAAGTCAAACCTCCAGACTAGCTTTCTTTCATCTGCGTAATATAAAGAGAATCAGACACATCCTGTCAAAACAGGATTCTGAAAAACTGATTCATGCCTTTATTACGTCTAGGCTAGACTACTGCAACTCCCTATTATCAGGTGGTCCCAGCAGATCCTTAAGAACCCTCCAGCTAGTGCAGAATGCTGCTGCACGAGTACTGACAGGAACCAGAAGACGGGATCACATTACTCCTGTTTTAGCTTCACTTCATTGGCTCCCTGTTAAACAGAGGATAGAGTTCAAAATCCTCCTACTGACTTATAAGGCCCTCAACAATCAGGCCCCACCATATATTAATGAGCTTTTAACCCCTTACTGCCCCCACAGACCACTTCGCTCCCTAAACTCTGGACTCCTTGTAGTGACTAGAGTTACTAAGAGTAGAATGGGTGGTAGAACTTTTAGTTACCAAGCTCCTCTCCTTTGGAACCAGCTCCCACTCTCAGTGAGGGAGGCAGACACAGTCTCTACATTTAAGGCTAGACTTAAAACCTTCCTTTTTGATAAAACTTTTAGCTCAACCCTGAACCATAGTTATCCATAGCTATGCTGCTATAGGCCTACACTGCTGGGAGATCACCCATCAGGCACCAGCACCTTCTATCTTCCTCTCTCTTCTTCACTCTCTGCCTGGTTTATTTTGTTATATCTTATTACATATCTCTAACTCTTTGGGTCTTCTCCCCCCCTCCTTGGTCCATACTGTGCGGCTCTCCGGAGCCCGTCCTGGCTCGGGTCCTGATGAGGGATGGGCCTAGTGAGGTCGCCGGTCTTTCGCAGGGCTGACATGGAGGGTCACGCAACCACCAGCACTCCCACCTGAGGACCTCCCACCTCTGGAGCCATGGGTCCTATTACTGCGCATGTGAACCATGAGGGAGGCAGGAGTGCCCGGGGGGACCAACGCGCCCTTGGAAGACCATGCAAACATCCATGTGGAGATTCCCGGGCTGGATTCAAGCCCCTGACCTGACACTGTGACTCTAACCCCCCCTTCATTTCCTTTTGTTCCCCTATATTACTTGTTATTTCTCCATCACCCCAACCAGTCCTGGCAGAGGCCTTCCACACCGAGCCCTGTTCTGCCGGAGGTTTCTTCCACCTGGGAGTTTTTCCTCCCCGCTGTTGCTCATGCTTGCTCGGTGTGGAACAAGTTGGATTTTGTTTTTCTTAAGATCATGGACTTTTGTGCAGCACCCTGAGACTACTGTTTATTGGGATACCGTGCTAGATAAATAAATTTGATTGATTGATTTGAAAAGCTCCATGTGTCATGTGTCCCTCGACATTCTAAACCTATAGCAGCATATTTAAGAGCAGATCTAAGACAAGCCTGGACCAGCTCTAACTATAAGCTTGATCATAAAGAGAGGTTTTAAGCCTACTCTTAAATGTAGAGAGGGTGTCTGCCCCTTGAACTGAAACTGGGAGATGATTCCACAGAAAAGGAGCTTGATAGTTGAAAGCTCTGGCTCCTACTCGACTTTTAGAGACTCTAGGGACAACAAGTAAGCCTGAATTCTGGGAGCGCAGTGCTCTAGTAGGGTGATAAGGTACTATGAGCTCTTTAAGGTATGATGATGCCATATTATTAAGGGCGAGTAGGTGAGGAGGAGAATTCTATTCTCTATTTGACTGGAAGCCATTATAGTGA